CTAGGGGTTGGGTCTTCTGAGTTTTTACTTCTCCACCACATAAATAGGAACGATAATACCTTTGTCTTGTGTTACACTAGAAGTAGGTAGATGTGGGGATTAGACAAACAGGCTATGCAATTTTTTAAGTTTGTTATAATTTTTTTTTATGAGAGAGAGAGGCAGAGAGAGAGACTCTCAACAGGGTCCTCATGCCACAATCCATATCCAGTCCCAGCCCCCCAGATCTCAGGCAGGCGCATGCCCTGGGCATGCTTAGGGAGGTCCCTGGGCATAAATTCAGCACCTTGCCCTATGGGTTCCACTTGTACTACCACTGTGCCATCACCTGGCCTCACGCTGTAAGTTTAGTGAGCAATAAGGGAAAACTTTAGAAAGAACGTCACTGGGAACCAGCAGTTAGCGTAATGGCTATGTCACTGGACTCCCACGTAGTCGACCGCAGTTCGCGTCCCTGACCCCGTGGCTTAAAACTCACACCGGGCGCATGTGCGTGCGTGCCCAAGATCCTGAGAGGAGAATGGAGGAGAAGGGATTGTGGCGTGACCATCCCTCCTGGGGGGTGATTTCTTGCTTTCTGTCTCTATGTCTCTCTCTCTCTGTCTGTCTGGTGAGCGCACGTGCCCTATAGCGAAAAACTTCTCAAAAAAAAAAAAAAAAGATAATTGGTAGAAAGAACGTCACTGAATGGTAAAATGGAAAGAATGGCAGTGTGGTGGCCAGTCTGAAGAGATTTAGTGTCTATTCCACAGAGTGACTCAGAAGTTGGCTGCCCTGTGCAAAGGTTTTGTTTTGTCTTACCTTGATTTTTCATGAATTAGTTATGATATTTAAACATGAGAAGATATGGGCAGAACCACAGTATGAATACTGGTGTTCCCCCAACTGCCGGCTAGGTGCGCTCCCTTTGGGTTGTATTTTGCTTTGAAGGTCATTTTTATGCTGTGTTGGTTTCAACAGTTCCGCCCCTCAAGCTCAGATTAGAGAATTCCAGACATTATTATGAGCTGAGCTTGCAGCTTGCCAAAGACACTGCCTGTTCACTCCTGCAGAAAGTTGTGAAATGTGTTCGGTTGAGTAGCTTTTACACAAGATACGCTTGATTCATTGTACTGTTTTCTGCCAGAAAAGGTAGTCAAGGATAATGGGGCTGTCCCAGCTCTGTTTCCTAGCCATGTATTTCTGGCACTTTATACAACCACAACTTCATAGGATGGGCGTGAGGGCCCAAAGTGGGAACATTAGCACCGAGGATACCAAGTAAAGCAGTCTTCCTGTTAAAGGCTAAAAGCATGTTTGTATTTTGTGACTGGTTTGAGGGACTTCTTTTATCCCAAGATAACTAGTTTTCTTTAAGCAGGACAAAAAAGATTGTCTTTTAAAACAATTTCAGAAGCATCATGGTCCTCATGTTACCAACAATAATATGATTTTCTGCAAGTTTCCTAATAGTCGAGGGCCTTAGTTTACTCATTCATCAAAAAGAAATAAGCACATCTATTTTGCAGCATTGCTGGGAAAGTTCAGTGAGGTTATTTAAATGAAAGCACAGAAGTCACAGGGCTTAGTTTAGAGTAATTCTACATTCAAATAATGTTTAAAATTTTGTTTTTAATCAGCATATTTTAAAACAGTGTTTCCTTTGAGGATCCCTAGTAGGTAGGTTGGAATAATCGTTGGAGCTGGGACCTACCTGGTATTCTCTCTCTGCCTGAGGTACACCTGCTCCGATCCTGCTGCTCCTAACATTTGTGGGGCTCAGCGAAGGCATACCTACCACAGCCTAAGTATTTTAAAGTGATACATCAGATCAACATCTGTTAAGCCAAATAATCTCTATCCTCTGATAATGGCAAATTTACCTTCATAAGGGGCTGGAAGTTTAGTTTTGAATTTAGGACTCTTGGGCTCTGGAAATTGGTACCAAAATGTGATGGCTAGGAAGTGTGGGACCTTAAACAGCTCTTCTTCCTGCCCATTGCTCCATCCCATACCAGATGGGGGGGGGGGCTTGCATGCTTGCACGTGAATACCTCAATTTCCAAGTTCAAGTTCTATTTATGTGTTTTTAAATTTTGCTACAGAGTGCATGATCTCACCAGAGAGAGAGAGAGCAGAAAGCTAGGTAGCAGGGGAGGGAGAAAGCACCTCCCTTCCCTCAGTGGAGATACGGTCACACCACTTCCCTTCTTCATTTCTCCATTCTGTTGGGATTTGAGGCACACACACACAATCCTGGTGTGTCTCTCAAACCACTGGAACTGGGATTTGAACCATGCTGTTTGCCATGTGGGATCAGGCTTCTTAGGCCAGCTCATCAAGCTCTTTCTCTTTCTCCTTTTTTTTCTGTTTTGTTAGATGACATATACACTCCCTGGAGAGAGAGAGAGATAGCATCCCCACAGAGGATGGTCATACTGCAATCCCTTCTCCTCCATCTCTCCTTTTGGAATTTTTGAGCATGCACACACATGCCCCCTGCGTGTTTTTCAAGCTGCCAGTTCTGGCATTTGAACTCCAGTGTTGGCCATGAAGGCTCCATCTGGCTTCACTACTATGTCACCAGCTGGCTTTATCAAGCTCTCTTTATACCTCCTTACAAACTGCAGACTTTTGACCACTTGTGACCTCCCAGGCTGCACAAGTAGGTGTTAGTCTTTCCGGAGGTTGAGCAGATTGGGGGAAGAGGCCACACTAGTCTTGGAAGTAGGGCTGAGTCTTCTAGAGTTCCAAGTTCTTAGAGCCTGGTCTAGAAGTGGAAGGGAGGAGTGAGCAGGCTCTAGATGTGCACATTCCCTTCACTTAAGGTCTTATCCTCTGAGGAGGGGAATGGGTGAAGAGGGCCAAATAGAGTGGGACCCATTAAAAACATAAGGCCCCGATAGAGAGCGCCTCCTGCCATATCTGAAGCCAGTACTGCTCTGAACCCTAGGGCTCCAAGGAGCACGTAGTGTGAACTGCTGCCTGCAATCAGTGTGAAAAAAACTTCTACAGCTTTTCAGGTTTGCATCCTTGTCTCCAGTGCTTCCCCAAGTGTCCCAATCCCTAATCCTCGTGATAGCAGTGAAAAGGAGACTCCATAGTGTCAGATATTTGACTCACAGATAGCAGCTCTGACTAGTCCTTTCTACTGACTGCTGAGGCTGCTAAGTAGGGGGAATGGTATCTAGTCTAGTCCCTAGCCAAGCAGTCTACACTCTCTGAACACTGCCTCTGCAAGTTGGGGCTTACTCAGTTTCTTTTACACTCTTGCTGTACCCCATGTTCAGCCCTGGTTTTCTGCATTACTTGGGTCCTTGAGTCCAGAGTGTCCCCAAGATTGTGTAGATATGGGAAGTTGTAGGAGAACTGAGTATCCGACCCTTCATCCTACCTGGAGTCCCTGGTGCTTCAAATTCTGAGCAACATGGAGTTCTGTTGGATACTTCGACTTACTTTTCTAGAACATTCCCTCTGTAGGAACTTAGGCAGTGACTGTAATAAACTCTCCTTTATTTGTTTTTGTTTATTTGTATTCATCTGTTAAAAAAAATTGAAATCTCTTGTCTGTTTATATCTACATTCCCCCCCCACCCCCCAGTGATTTAATATCCTTTATTCTCTTTTCTATCTTTTTTGGTGGAATTTCAGGAGGGAGAAGAGGAAAGCAGTGGCCAGTTCACCATGTATAGCTGAGGATTTCCATAGAAACAATAGAAGAGGGGATGCTGAAGTCTACTGAGGGCTTCGCCTATATCAGAATGGCTTCACATCCCTTCTTGAGTTATTTCTTCCTCTTCTTGGATTTCCTCTGAGAACCAGGAAGTACCACAGTGTCAAGCCACAGGAGACCAACAGACAAAGAAGTCCTAGTTTTCCAGATGGCTGTAATACTTATCTGCTCCCCTCGTGACTTGTATGTGGTCAGGATCAACAAACATTTATTAAACACTTACTGTATACCAAGCAGCATGAAGTGCTTTTACTCTCTTGACCTATTTTAACCTTTATAGCAACCTAAAAAGGTGGGTAGTACTTAAAAGACAGCAAATTTAGGGACCTGGATATTGAGACTTACTCAAGGCTGAATATCCAGAGACTAGAATTGAGGCCAGTTTCATAACCCCAGCAGTAGCTCTTTCTCTAATCATTTTGGAAATATAATTTGTTTTTCTTTCTTAAGATTCTTTTCTTTTTGAACTTGTTCAGCTTGTCAGACAAATGGATAGATGCAACTTTTATTAATCTAATCTCTTTAAGGAGTTCTGTGGTGAGTTAAACCCATTCATGGTTCTTACTGAGAGGGAAATATGTGTGAATATTTATTTGTCCAGTTATGAGCTCATTATTATATTTGTATCTGTGTGTAAGTCTTTAACTTTGGAAAGAAAAAAAAAAAACCTATGCTGTTCACATTAACTTTATCCACAATTTGAAGAAGGGGTTTTGAGTTTTAGGAGAGGAGCAGATCCTTTATTTGAAAGCTTCTTGGAGGTAATTTAAAGAAGGATGCTTTCAGAGTGCATTCAGAGGAAACTAACAAAGAGACTTTTGTTATTCTCTTTTTAGAGTTGGAAGACTTAGTTATGTTTATTCATAGAGGAGAGAAAACAGGCAGATGAGATACGGTTTTCAAGTACCTGAAGTACATTTTGTAGAAGAAGGAAGGACCTCACCTTTATGTAGCTTCTATGGGCAGACTTAGGACCAGCAGTGCAAATTACAGGAGGATAAGTTCTGACCATGAGTTAGAATCTTACCATTCGAGTTGCCTCAGAGAAAGTGAGGCCCCCATCCCTGGAGGAGTTGACATAGAAGCCAGAGTAGTTAAGGGAAGGGATCCAACATCCAAATGAAGATTTTCATCCTATGACTTAAGTGTTTTAGGTTCAGAGTTTGATAGGAATTAATTTATCTCTTTTATCTTGTCAGTTTCCCTGGCAGAGCCTGTAAGAATTTCAGTCTGTTTCCCAAGTATCCTCCCAAAGCCATTTCTGAACAGTGTGTTCTTTCTCTTGCAGAAGAAAATGCAGAAGTGTCTATGGATGTTTCCCTGGCTTACCGTGATGATATGTTTTCAGAATGGACTGAAATGGCCCACGAGAGAGTGCCACGAAAACTCAAATGCATCTTCACATCCCCCAAGGTAGGATGCCTAGATGCCTAAGTTGATGGAGTGTTTATTTAGTTCCCAGGCATGTGGAAGGATTTGCTCACATTTCACAGATGTGTCTTGATATTTTCTTAGTATGTATAACTCGTAAAGGTTGGTCATTATTTCTTTGTTTCAATGGAGAGAAGGGAAATATAGATAGTTCATGTCCTTTAACAGGAGAAAAGAACAGAAGAAGGAATGTCTGATTAAAATGATTTAGTAATTTGTTCTAGTCTGATTGGCTGCTCATAAACTGTGATTTATGAAAACAGATGTTTATTCCGTTCACAGACTGAAGGTCCAAGGTCCAGGGCCCTTCTTCGGTGGGGTTCTTCTGGCCATATCACAACATGGCAGCAAGCGAGAGGGCATGGTCTGCATTCCATTCAGGCTCCTGCCTGCCTCAATTCTTCTCCTTATACACAAACCAGGACTCAATCATGGGGCCCCCACACTAACCACCCAATCACTGATCTCTTCCCAAAGGCCTTACCTTTTCAGCACAAAAATTAGATCAAGTTTTTCCCCTTTTAATCCCATTATAGTCTAACCTCAACACATGTGTTTGGGGGGACATATTCAAACTATAGAGCGTTTCTCTGAAATACCTCCATAAAACAACTCTTCCTTCTTTGGAAATAGCTGAAAATATTTGAAGAATGTTGCTAAGTTGTCTTGAGGGCTGAAAATCTGTTCATGTTGCATCAGTACTTGTTTCTGTTTCTCAGTTTCTCAGGCTTCTGTGGGTTGCCAAAGTTGATGTGCATGTCTAAAGACTGACACTCCCAGGGCACACCACAGACAGATAAAGGACCTGAAGGAGGAAAGCTAGTTGCATTTGAGACCTCCTGTCATCTTACCCATCTTTAGGATGCTCCCTTCTCCCTGGGAAACTCATTGAGCCACCCATGGGAGGGAGGTTACTATCCTGCATCAAGAGTAGAAGATGTTTTCTTGTGGTCACAGGCTTTAGAGTTTTCATAAATGAAAATAAAGGATTGACTCAATGATTCCAGAGGATGGTGGGATTGGATGGCAGAAGGACTAAATCAGAATTAGCCGGGAGCCTTCTCAAATGGCAAGTGCTGCCTTCACACACGCCTACTTGAGATCCTGCTCCTTCCACCTCCACTGACTGCTGAGAGTCTCTGTGAAGGCAAGAGGGAGCATTGTTATTGCTACTCCTGGTGACTCATATTCCTCAGGGGTATTGGCATGGAGCATCACTAGCTAGGTGATTTCGAATGTCCACTGAGGGGCAGAGATGTTCCCGATTTCTTTGTGTAAAGTGCATGTGAGGCCCAACTCTCCACTGAAAAAACATTGCTGATTATGGCTTTCCTCGTTTACTATCCTTCAGATCAGTAGCTCCTGAAGGAATTGGACAGTTTTGTAATACCCGTTCTGTTGAGAAGTTCAGTTCCTCTTCTCTCCTAGCATGGGCTATCCCTAACTGTGTTTTGGCCTCTAACTGTAAAGTTAGGGCTTCCTGTGAAAAAGTATGAATGTCAGGTTGAGGACTTTGGAGTACCATGCCCCAGCTTTATTCATCTTATCCTACAGAGCAGATAGTCTCACAGTATTAACCTCTGTTAAAACTGTAGACTTGACAACACGTACTTGACTTCAATTCGGTGCTGGGTTACTTACTGACTGTGTGATCTCAGTAAACTCAGTACTCCATCTCAGCTCCAGGTTTTCTTCTTCACAATGGGATCATAATATCTACCTGGAAGTCTTTGAATGGACGAGATGAGATAATAAATATAAGCAGGGTGACCTTACAAGTTTATTTGAGACATGTTTGAGAGTAAAAGGGGATGTTAGCCAAGTAGGCCATCAGGACAAAACATGCGAACTGAGACTCTTGTGGGCAAACCGTGCAATGTCCACAGAAGCACCTGTTGCCAGTGCCTGGCACTCGGTAATACTAAGTCCTCTCCCCAAGATTTCCTAGCCCAGACTTACATGAAGTACGGGCTGAGAGCTTGTAGAAAATGTAGATTCTCAGGTCACACCCAAAACCTGAAGCAAAATCTCAGGGGGATAAATCTGTGATTTCGCCGGCTTTCAGTTCATTATTTCAAGCTAGAGGAAGGTAGTGATCCAGTCCTCTAGATTCGGCTGAGTACCAGATATAGGGCTCTCCATTGACAAAACCATCTGGAATTGTCTTAGGTGAGTCCTAGGGGACAATCTAGATAGGTAAAAGTGAATGGCAGAGAGACACTGGAGAAAGCAGGAGAGAGGAGCAGCTAATATTTTCAGATCTTTGTATGCAATGGATGAAATGAATTAGAACCTTTGTAGCTGTAACTGCAAGTGGATTGCATCTTTCAGAGGAGAGACAGGTTGAATAAGGTGGAGGGCTTTCGGATATGGAATTTCATCATCAGAAAAGGGGAAAAAAAATGTTCTCTCACCTTACTTCTACACTTGGAGGGCACGGGAGAAGCAGAGCGGGGGGGAGGGGTGTTTGCCTGCAACTGCTTGTTAATGACAGTTGCTTAATTATCTTTAGAATGTGTTGATCCCTTTCAAGAAAGATATTAAACCTTGAAAGGTGAGAAGGAAATGAATCATCAAATCTGTGCTTTTGATTGCAGTGAAATTCAGTCTTGAGTCTGAAGATTAAATGAGAAATTGCTTTAAAGCTTTTTAGTCCCTGGTGGATTGCAAAGTTAAAAAAAAAAGTCAAGTTGCCACCTGCTGTAATTTGTCCTAATTAGACAGTCTCATGCCGGAGTTGGGGGGAGGACTGAATGGGTTGAGGGAGAGGAAGGAGAGAAAGAGAGAGGACTGTTTCTTCTTAAGTGCCCTAAATACTGGCAGAGGCAGAACTTCATTGCATACATAAAAGTCCCTGAAAGAATACAGTAAATTTGTCTCTGAGACAGGGAGGCCAGGCCAGGATCCCAGATTTTTGTGTGTGTTGAACATTTGTTGAACTTAGTTTCACAGGTGGTAGAATTATCCTCTCTGTAGACACAGAGAAGTATGAGACATCCAGGGACCTAGTGCAGGGAATTAGAAGTGAAGCCAGAGGGACCAGCAGTTGGTGTAATGGCTATGTCTCTGGACTCCCATGTAGTCGACAGCAGTTCGAGTCCTGGACCCGGTGGCTTAAAACTCATGCTGGGCGCATGTGCGTGTGTGCCCAAGATCCCAAGAGGAGAACAGAGGAGAAAGGACTGCAATGTGGCCATCCCCCCTGGGGGGTGATTGCTCACTTTCTGTCTCTCCATCTCTCTGTCTCCGTCTTTCTGGCAAGTACATGCACCCTATAGCAAAAACCTCACCAAAAGAAAAGAAAAAGAAAAAAGAAATGAACCCAGAGATTATTTTATTTAACTTTCTTGCTTCACGTAGGAGGAAAGTGAAGCTAAATGAGGTGAGATGACCCAGCAAGGCATAAGGTGAGGATGAGCATGCAAGCTTCCTGGGCAGGAGCTCAGGATGCTCCTCATCACCGTACATACCTGACTTTGGGCATGTCTGAGGTGAAGCCCTTCCTGTCTTCCCTCTGCACTTGAGTGTCCTCTTCCCCCTTGGTCCTGGAGGCAGCAATATGGCGCAGCTGGACTTAAAAGACTCACGTCTTTGTTCCAGTTCTGCTACTGCTTTGGGAACCATAAGCAAGATACACATCATATAGTATTAACCTAAATGTGTTCTGTTCCCATCCCTCTCAAATTCTTCCATAGCTTAAATAAGACCCTGATGGAAACATATCAGAAACCATCCTCTTGATGTTACCACAGAAGGTAGTCAGCCTCCTCAGTGCAACTTAAATGAGAATCTGTGATGTATTTTTAGTAATTCCTGCAGGGCCTTCATTCTAGCACTAATTTATAAGGATAATAAGAAAAGAGGGGAGGAGGCCAATAAGTGGCATGGTGGTTAAGACTACTGGATCCCACCTGGTCAGCTGCGTGGTTTGAGTACCAGCCCCAGCAGTTGGAAAACATGCTGGGTGCATGTGTGTGTGTGCCCAAAATCCTGAGGGGACAATGGAGGAGAAGAGATTGAAATGTTGTCATCTCCCCAGAAGTGTGCTTCTTCATTTTCCTTCTCTCTGTCTCTCTTTAGCAAGTGCACAAACCCCATAGCCAAAAAAAAAAAAAAAAAAAGTGAAAGAGAGCTAAAGATGATCTGTATAGGAGGAATGACCCAATGTGCAGCTGAGTTTGAAAAAGAAACAGATTTCGCCCTACAAAAGTTTGTCTTTGATCTCAAATGCCAATTCTAACTAACTGGTAGTGTCTGACAACAGTCCCTCACACCTTAGGGGATTAAACATTGTAATGACTGAATGCTGAGGCCTGCAAGGTCAGCGAGAATGGAAAAGCCTATGTCCTGGGTTTGCCTGCCTTGCCTCTCCCCTTCCCATGTGTCTTCTGTCTCTGTACAAATGCCTGTTGCACTTTAAGTCCTGACTCTCCAGTAAGGAACCCTCCAGAATCACCCTTCCCATACTAGTTAATCTATTGATTTTTTAAATTTTTCCATTGGACATTTTTCTTTTTAAGTTTATCTGTTCATTTATTTAGAGAAATAGAAAGGGAGGGAGGCACCTCCAACAGGGTCCCCACACCATGATCCACCCCCAGCCTCAGTCAGTCAGGTTCATGGGCACATGTGCATACCTGGTTTGTAGAGGGAGGACCCAGGACATGAACCTGGACCTTCCCATGTGGTTCCAGCATCACAGAGCATTGCTTTACCACTGTGCCGCCAGCAGCCCTGCATTAAATCTTTTGCTATAAAGATTTGTGACAAAGTATGGAGGTGCTGAAAGTTTAGGGTTAGGAATAATGTTTATTAGTCACCACTCTTTCATAATGAGGAAATTCCACATAAAAATTGACATATAAACCCAGCATTGATGGCAGACTCTCATCTGCTTTACCACAGGGAAGCCCCTGTCTGCTGAAGTTCGGTCTATATATACCCAGATTTTTCCCTTACCCTCCACCTCTCAACAGGCGCATGTGACTGGGGCTCCTGGTGAGGTAGAACAGCATCAGTTTTCAGTAGCAAGTTGTGTATCTATTCTCCAATCTCCCACTACTATTGTTGGGCAATTTCTGTTCAATCGTTTGTCAGGAAGCCCAAGAGGGTTTCTAGAAACTGGGCTAAATATTTGTATAATTAAAATTTTTGCTCTCTTCTTCCATCTTGCCTCTTGGCTGTTAAGAAACTTTGGAGGGAGAACATTTTGAGTGGGTGAAGCAAACTGATCTCATTTATTACCTTTCTTTCCTTTCTGTCTTTTCTTTTTGTCCTCATATTCCAGGGACTCCTTGGGTTCCTTCTTTTCCTGTCAAGTCAATAAGAATAAGGTATTTTCAGCTTCTTATAGTTTCTTCTATAGGCTCTAATGAAGATGAAAGAATCCTCTAATGAAGATTAGCAAAGGTGTGAAGAGATAACAAAGTATCTCTATTCTTTACCTAAAATGTCTGGTTCTACCTCAGTGTGGCTATTTTTTGATTGCATATTTTTGGGGTAAGGGAGTTGGATGGACACCATGTCTTCAGTGTGTCCTATTATCTGTCTTTAAGGTGTACCTTTAAGCATGAGCTTTTTAAAACTGGTGATCTGAGGCCAGGGTAAGGGAACTCAGACCCAGTCTGTTGGAAGTAGTGACCCCACCTCAAACCCTCTGTTCTCCTTCCAGACCTCAGAGCATGAGGGCCGCTACTATGATTGTGATGTCCTTCCGTTCATGGAAATTGGGTCTGTGGCCCACAAGTATTACCTTCTAAACATCCGGCTGCCTGTGAATGAGAAGAAGAAAATCAATGTTGGGATTGGGGAGATAAAGGATATTCGGTTGGTGGTAAGTGAATGTGATTTTCTTAGCAGGTTGTTGACACTAGAACGCTGGCCAAACACACTGGTTCTCGGGCATGCATATCGCAGGGGGAGTCCATCTCACTCTGGGTCTCTCCATACCTCACTTGCCTCTGCTGTCTCATCTGAGAAATGGGAATAATAGCAGAGCCGTGATGACGGAGATCATAAAGTGAATTAATTTGTGCGAGGGATTACAGAAATGGCAAACAATGCAATTATTGTACCCACTTAAGATTTTAAGTGTGCTTAAGATCACTTAAGATCATTATAATGATTACAAGATCATAATAATATGGTTGTGATCGTGTAATGAATAATACCAAGATAAAAGTAAATTTTCCTTTTTACATGTTTCTCCTTGCAAGAAAAATGTTAAAGGGAACAGGGTTGCTTTAGGTTCTTTCCATTTCATGTTTTTAATTGGAGAAACTATAGAACACAGAGTAAGGAGGCTATTTACATATATATATATATATAAATATAAATATAAACAAACAAGTCACATGGGACCAGCAGTGTAATGGCTATGTCGCTGGACTCTTATGTGGTTGACCGTTGTTTGAGTCCTGGACCCAGCGGCTTAAACTCACGCCGGGCGCATGTGCGTGCGTGCCCAAGATCCTGAGAGGAGAATGGAGGAGAAGGGATTGCAGCGTGGCCATCCCCCCTGGGGGGGTGATTTCTCGTTTTCTGTCTCTCTGTCTCTCTCTGTCTTTCTGGTGAACGCACGTGTCCTAAAGCAAAAAGTCACACAAGAAATACCTATTTATTGAAGAAAATTAGGAAACACAGGTAAAGACACAGAAGAGCACAATTACCTGGCATATCCTGCCATCTAGGTTTTGATATATCTTCTTTCGAGTGTGTGTGTGTGTGTGTGTGTGTATTCCCTCCCTTACAAAAAAATGGGATCATATTAGAATCAATTTGTGTTTCTCGTTTCTTCATGTAATATTATATTGTGGATATCATGCATATACTTTTGATACTGCTTATTGTTCTGTCATGTAGATTTATTTGAGCACATTTACCACTCAACATATTAGGCATGTATGATATCTTTTAACTTTTGAATGAAAATCTTCTGGAAAAATCTTTGATTATGCTGTTAATCATTCCCTTATCATAGAGTGAGCCCATTTTAATGCCTTTTGCTGTATATCTCCACAGTGTCTAAGGAAGAGCCGGGGGTATAGGAGATAGTATGTGCTGTGAATGTGAAAGATCTTGTTCTCTAAGTTCTTCAGATGAGGTCTCTACTGACCTCTCCCACCTCTTGATGGTAGAAAATAACATTAAGATATATTCACCTTTAAAATTATGATTGGTCTCTGTCTAGGGAATTCACCAAAATGGAGGCTTCACCAAGGTGTGGTTTGCCATGAAGACCTTCCTTACGCCCAGCATCTTCATCATCATGGTGTGGTATTGGAGGAGGATCACCATGATGTCCCGACCCCCTGTGCTTCTGGAAAAGTAAGAGCTGTTTTTGGAGCACTCTTAAAGAATGCTGGCTTCCCAAGATCCGCTGTGCTTCTGTGCCTGCATGAGTTCAGATCAAGCAGCAAGTTTATGACTAAGGAGACTCAGGATGTCCTGAACAAATCACTAGCCCAAGTCATAAACTGTCTGATGGCATGGTGGTTAAGGTGGCTGGATCTCACATGGCCAACCAAGTGATTCAAGTCCCAGATCTAGCAGCTTGAAAAAGATGCTGGGCACGTGTGCATGCATCCTCAAAATCCAAAACTGAAAAACAGAATGGAAAGGACTACAGTGTGGCCATCCCCCTTGGGGGCCATTTTCTCACTTTCTCTCTCTCTCTCTCCAGTGAGCACAAGTGTTTTCTGGTAAATTAAGAAAAAAATATTATTAAATCTTTGGCGTTCTTTCTCTTACATTTCTGACTCTTTATTCTGACTTTGCTCTTTATCCCCATAGTCAGAAGCAGATACATCTCTGTGATGGACGGCCTTGCTCCTAACTCCTTTCTCATCTGTGTCATTGACTTCTCCCTTTGTGCTGGATGATTTCCATTAACCCACAAACACTTTCTACCTTGTCCCATTCTTTGACAAAACACCCCTTTTCCTCACTTCCCCCCTGAACTAACACTCCATTTCCAGCTTCCTTTAATAGCAAGACTCCTCCCTCAAATATCTTTCCCATGTATTTTTTCCCTCCTCTTTCCTCAAATCTCTTCTAGTCTTAATTTATCCCACAACTCAACTAATACTACTCTTAACAGGATCATTAATGACTTTCACTTTTTTTTGTCTTTTTATTTTATTATTATTATTATTATTATTTGGAGAGGTTTTTGCTTTGAGGGCGCATGCGCTCACCAGAAAGGCAGAGACAGAGAGACAGAAAGTGAGAAATCACCCCCCAGGGGGGATGGCCATGCCGCAATCCCTTTCCTCCATTCTCCTCTCAGGATCTTGGGCATGCACCCGGCATGAATTTAAGCCACTGTGTCTGGCACTTGAACTGCAGTCAACTACATGGGAGTCCAGCGACATAACCATTATACCAACTGCTGGTCCCCAATCTTCAGATTTCTAAATTCAAAGGTCATTTTTCAGTCCTCACTTTCCTTGACCCATCATCAACACTTGATATAATTAATCACAGTCTTCCTTTTTCTTTACAGAGCTTTTTCCACCCTTCTCTTGCCTATTCTCCTTTGTCAACCATTACTCAGTCTCCATTAGTGTTTCTTTCATCTTTCTTAAAGTTTACCCTTATTTCCTCCTTGAGCCAGAGAGACAGAGACAGCTCCCACAACTGAGTCTCAACACCATAATCCACCCCAGCCTCAGCCAGCCAGGATTATGGCACAGGTACTCAGGGAGGTCTCTGGACACAAACCTGGAACCTTCCCATCTGAGTCAGCCTCACAGAGCATCATGTTTCACTGTTGCTCCTCCTTCTAGTCTCCACTATTATTCCTTTCCATCTCTTTGGTCTCTTAAATTTTGGAGCCAGCACTTAGTTTGGGACCTCTTTTCTTTATTAGCCATGTTTATGTTCCAGGTGATTTCATCTAGTGTTGTGGTCTTAAAAATCGTCTACCCTGTGATGATGCTTAATTTATATCCTCAAACTCAGCTCTAAACACAGATATGCGAGCTGTTTACTGACTTCCTTTACATTGAAAATACGTCATGTACAAAGAACAACATTTGATTTCCTCCCACTTCACACCTGTTCCTCTCTCAGGCTTCCCTATTTTAGTAAATGGCAGTTACATCCTTTCAGTTGCTCAGGCTGGAAATAGAGGAGTCATCTTATATATCTCCCTTTTGTTCACACCTCTCAGCCAACTCACCAGGAAATCTTACCATTTCTACTGTCGCCACCCTAATCTAACTAAGCCACCGTCATTTCTCATCTGAATGATTGCAAATAGCCTCTCAAGGCTCTCCTTGCTTTCACCATTTTCCTTCCTGCACTTCAGATCTATTCACACAGCAGCCAGCGTTTTCCCTTTCAAGTGTTAATCAGATCATGTCACTCCTGCTCAAAGCTCTTTGCTGGCTTTTTATCTCCTTTGCCCTGTAATACAAACCCTTTTATGATCCAGTCCCTTACCACCTCTGATACTATCACCTATCCTCCCATCTCCATGTTGATGGCGTTCCCACATATCTGGCATGCTCTCACCTCAGGGCCTTTGCACTTGTTCTCCTCTTTATCTGAAGCGGTCTTCCCAGAAACTTTGGGTCTCAGTTCCTCATTTCTTTTAGGCCCTACTTTAATGTCTTTAATCTTAGAAGCTCTGCCTTGTCCACTTTGTATAAAATTTCACCCCACCTAGTTTCATTTTTCTTCATAATGCTAATCCTTCATTTGTTTATCATCTTCCCTCACCCCCCTACTCTCCATGCCACCTGATCTGACCGTAAGCATCAGGGGAGCAAGATTCTGGCTTCTTTTGCTGACTTCTGTATTCTCAGCATCTAGAACAGTGACTGGGACACAGAAGCAGCTTAATAAATACTTGTCAAATGAATGAATCATGGCACTCTATTGTTTAAGCTTGTTTTTGGATCCTCAGTCTGTTCGAGGTAAGGTTCTTATTCTCTGATGAGGTATGCAAGTTTCTCTGATGAGGTATGAGCTCAGCCCTCTTTATTTCCCTGGTCTCATATCTTGTCATTTTCTGATATATGCTACGTGTAGATTTCCAAATGCTGCAGGCTCTTCCAGGCCTCTGTGCCTCCATCCAGGCTTTGCCCTCTGCCTGGGATGCCCTTCCCATCTTCCTAATCTCAGCTCACAAGTCAGCTCAATTTCTGTCTCTGTAAAAAATCAGAAGTGCTGGTAGCAGCCCTCTATGCTTATATATTTCTATAATGTTGCTTCTTATTGTACTCTATTTGAATCTTCTCTCTATCTGCCTCCCCCACTACATGTACTTCCATGAGTGAAAAAAAAAAACATTGTTCCTCTTTTTTTTTTTTAGTTATTTTATTTGACTTTATTTATTTATTTTAATTTGACCAAAGAGGGACAGAATAAGAGAGAGAAAGTGAGAAAGCAAAGCCGCCAGGTCTAGAACTTAAATTGTGGTCAGCTATGTGGGAGTCCAGCAACCTTAACTACCACACCACCTGCTGGCCCCTGTCCCTATCATTTTAATGCCTGGCACATAATCTGTGTTTAATTAAACATACATATTTCACAAGTATGAAAAAAATGAGTAAGTCAGTGAGCTAAAAAGGATATATACTTTTATATGTGACATATAGGTTTTATATGATATATTTTTAGAATTATTTATTTAATTTTATTTATTATTATCATTATTTTAAAATTTGCCGTAGGGGACTTGTGCTTACTGGAGAGAAAGAGAAAGGGAGAGAGAAGGAGAATGAGAAAGCAAGCCACCAGATCTGGTACTTGAACCGTGGTTGGCCATGTGCGAGTCTAGCATCCCAACCACCATGCCACTTGCTGGCCAGCCCCTATTTTATATAATTTTTAAAGTTTATGTATTTCCCTCATGACAGAGAGAGACAGAGGCTCCCCCAAAAGGACCCTGACACCATGGTTCATCAGCAACCTTTGGCTTCCAGGGTCCTGCTACATGCACACCATCAGCACAAGCAGGGAGACTTTGAGACAGCACCCAGGAACTTTCCCCTGTGGCTTCGGTATCACTGAGCGTTGTGTTTCCTGCACCAGTGTGACTGGCCAAGAGCAGTATTTTTATAGAGAGGGGAAGTGACAGTTAATGATGTGACAGGGGGAAAGTAAAGTAAAAGCTAATCAGGTAGCCAAAAGAATTTACATTTCATTTGTGCTTGGAGTCATTTACTATTGAAACAAGTATGCTCATATAATTTGTGGCTGCAGAAGATATTACAGTAATAATGAGTAGTCTTAATGATTAGGTTAATTGATAACCGGAATAGATAAGAGAGGGCAGATCTCCATGAGGTCTGTTTAAGAAGGCAAAGAGGCATGAAAACATTGTAGGAAGCTCTTAACCTGAGGCGGTACCAAAATAAAGAGTGGAGCATTAAGGAGGTCAGGTTCAATTATGCAGAAAAATTGGGCTGGACTCTGGTGTGACAGTTAAGGCAGATGGATCCCACATGGCTGACTGCGTGGTTCAAGTCCTGAACTTGCTGACTTAAAAAATGTGCCAGACCTACGTGGGTGCTCAGAATCTCGAAAAGAGGGCAAAATAGAGAAGAGGTCACAATGTGACCATTCCCCATAGATGTTGTTTGTTCACTTCTTTCAGTCTGTCTCTGGCAAGCACACATGCCCTCTGGCAAAAATTTAATAAAAAATTAAAAAAAGAAAAGTTGATTCTGTAGTAGTGCCAACTAAATAGGCCATTTTTGCATCTTTGTGTGAAAACTCGTTATGAAAGCTAGGGAACCGATCATCCAGCTTTAGTCTCAACAAGTAAAATCTCAACACTCAAAACTGGTTTCTGATTTTTGGAAATCTTCCTCCCAGAGGAATAAAGCGGTTCTCCTGATATTTTTTTCTCACCATCAGAGTCATCTTCGCTCTTGGGATTTCCATGACCTTCATCAACATCCCAGTGGAATGGTTTTCTATTGGGTTTGACTGGACCTGGATGCTACTGTTTGGTGACATCCGACAAGGCATCTTCTACGCAATGCTTCTCTCCTTCTGGATCATCTTCTGTGGCGAGCACATGATGGTACAAGCCCCTGGGGAAGGAAGGACAGACATCTTCACCAAAGCTGCTCTGCGAGGGCTGCCAACCAACACTCATCTCCCTCTGCCTCGCATTAGCTGTGGGCAAGGCAGATTAAACCACTAGGCACAAGTTAGGCCCTCTGGTTCAGATATTTGCCTGCACAGACACCGAATCATATTTTAAGACTCGAAGGTTTTATGGATAAAAATAAGAATAGTGCCATCATCATGCTGCAGGGGAGGTGGTGATTGCCCGCTGGACTCTGTTCTTCATGACAGGCACTAGGAGAGTGACTGTTTTTAAATTCCATTATGGTTGGTCATAAAATCTGAACTCTGATGCCCTGCTGCCCTTTCAGGAGAACAGCGTGGGAGGAGAGAGAGGCTTTTGCCTACTGCCAAAGTCCACATAAGGGGTCTTCCACAGGGGCTTACCGGAGTGAGCCCTCAGCAGCAGAAACTGGAAGGGGGACTCAATAGTCAGTCAGGGGGACTGTCCAGAATGAACCAGTGTGGACTGTGCCATTTGGGTCCCAGCCTGGAGGCTAAGATATCTCTTTTCCCATTCCCATTTTCTCACTCTTTGTTCCTCTACTTTCTTTTTCTTAGAATTTTTGTGTTATCTATAAAGAGGAATCATTCTTGGATTTAATGAGCATTGGGAGAGATATTAGGTTATTGAGAAAGTCTTTATGTTCTTATATGCAAAAAAAAAAAATGTGTCATAACTTTCCTGGTAACCCAATAGGTCTATTTTCCTAACCATAGAGGTCTCTTATACCTGACGTATGTAAATGCCTTAGTGCCTTCATTTCACTCTACCTAGGAACCACCCTACGAACAGAAGTTAGAAGTTCCATAAGAATTTAAATGAATGAGTTGTTTTGTGGACCACAAACATCCCCCACCTATGGTGCCAGATCTTGGTGTTGGCATAGCGTCCCATTCTTGGCACAATAGAACCCTTGTCGATAGGCTTTGTAGTCATCTGATTATGTGCCAGACTCCCCTGACAAAAGTGATCTTCTGAACAGAGACTTTTCTAGAGGGAAGCCCTGTGCTTGATACACTGGGGCTGGGCAGCAAGCATTGACTCACCTCTAGAATTGTTTTGCTTTTCTTTATCTCTATCTCCGTTCTCCATTGGCTTTTCCTCAGGATCAGCATGAGCGGAATCACATTGCCGGGTATTGGAAACAAGTTGGACCAATTGCTGTTGGCTCGTTCTGCCTCTTCATCTTTGACATGTGTGAGAGGTGAGCAGGTGCCCGTGGGGACTCCGGCTGGAAGGCACATCACCAAATCCACTCCCGTGTCTTTAGAGTTTTAGTAAAAATGATAGTCGAGAACCTTTGGGATGAAAACATTGGTCAAGGCCACATCCTCGGATAGAGACTGGGATTAAATCAAAGTTGCAGCTCCTAATAGCTGCAGAACGTTTGGGCAGCTTATACTCTACGAGTTCTGTTTCTTTTCACAGTCTCTGTGACATTTCTCATACAGCCCTCACCCCTCCAGCTGCAAAATATGTGAGAATATATATAAAGAAAAGCTCCCTTTTGCCTTTGAATTAATTGTGTCTTGTCTTTCCATCTCGTTTTCTTTGTAGAGGGGTACAACTCACAAATCCCTTCTACAGTATCTGGACTACAGATGTTGGAACAGAGCTGGCCGTATCCTTCCTTGATGGGCTCCAGGGTTTTATGTCTTCCCATAGCCACCCTGTTCCTCCAGGATCATTTTCTGTCTCTGCTGATGTTCTCCCTGTATGCTCAGCCAGAGCTTTGATCCTCAGACCCACGATAATAGCACAATTAAGGCAAATAATGAGAATTAGCCCTTGCTTTCAAGCTGGGGTGAGAGCAGGCAAAATGAGGAGGTTGGAGCACGTCCCCAAGGCAGAGGGATCAGAGTTGCCGGTCTTACTGCAGCCTGTCTACACGATCTATTATACACTGTTTACTGCAGACTGAAGCATGACTGGTTTTCCCTAGAGCCACAGGAGTTCAGCTCTCAGGCCCTGTGGGAGAGCCTGCTCTGAAGTTGCCTGTGTACGAGACTTCCTACGGTGACCTTGGTGTGCTGGATACCATGCTGCTGCTATTCACTCTGAGACCCAGTCAAGATAAGGCTAAGGTGATTAGTTCCACAGGCATCGCCGTGGCCTCTGATTGGCTGGCATAAACTGTCTGAGTCATCTTAGTGAAACAGAAGTGACAATCTTAGCTTATCCCCTTTAGGATGCTGGATTTAAATATTTTATCTTTTTGAATAAAATGTTAAGTGCTTTGGAAGGAAAAAAAAAAAAAACCCTCTTCTGGAGTGAGGAGAAAAGCCTGGGTTGTACTCTTCCTTGATAACTGATATCTTGTCATGTGCTAAGTCAATAGGATCATTACCTTAAAGATGAAAGAGTTGGACTTCCTTCTTCAGCTACCCTCCTTCCCACCCAGAAAGGTTAGTTACACAAAGGAAATATTTATGATGTGAGGTCTAGTTCAAACTTTTTGTTTTCGTTTCTGAAATTTTCTTCTTCTCTTCCTTCTCCTTTTTATTTTTTATTGCCAAAATGCACATACAAAGAAACAGAGGGAGGGAGAGGAGAAAGCAGTCCTCCTCGATGGGGCATGGTCACTCTGCAGTCCCCGCTCCTCCATCTTTTCATCCTTCTGGCATTTTGGGCATGCACACACACATACTCAGTGTGTTTTTCAAGCCACAAGGGCTGGGATTTGAACAGCAGTCACCCAGATGGGATCTAGCTTCTTAACAACTAGGCAATGAGGCAGGCCCCAACCCTTTGGTTTGATAGACATAATGGAAGTCTGTGGAGGCAAATAAAAACTAAAGTCCTACAATAAGTAACTCATATTTCCTTCATTCTAAGGGACTATTGATTGTAAGAGAGAAGAAACTGTTTAAATATATTATTTAATGAAATATAGGTGCTAACTTCACACTTAATAAAATATTTTTTTAAATGTGCAGCTTGAGGGAGAATGATAACAGAAAGGAGCTGGCATCAGGTCACCTGCATTACAAGCCAGCTCACCCTCCTAAGCCTTGGTGGTTCTCACATTAGCTCTAAAAACCATATCCTCAAGGTCTTCCTGACAGAGCTCAACATATTTTGCCCCAACCCCAGCTTCTACCTCCACCTTGTGTCCTCTGCTCCCCATACCCTTTGACAAGTTTTCTGTGGAGACAGAAGCCCTTCAATCCCATGTACGGAGCTGCTGCTACACCCAAGCCCCACTCCGCCTGATTTCCATCACTCCAGGCCATTTTAGTCTCTTTCTTATACAAACCAAGGGACTAGGCTACTCCAGTGGTTCCCAAACGTGATTATCCTTGATTCCCTAGCTCTAGGAAAATCTGATTCTGTATACCTGAAGTTCAACTTGGGCATCATCCAGTGATTTTAAGAGTGGTTTTCACTTGATCAGTATTTCACCACCAATAATCACTATATCAGTGCTTTTCACATTTCTTGTGCATATGAATCTTTTTGGGAACTGGCTTAAAAGTCAAGTTTTGATTCGGTAGGTCTAGGGTGGACTCTGGAGTCTACATTTCCAGTAAGCAAGGGGTTCTTTCTCTTCTTACTTGGCTTAGAAAGCATGTATGAACACTTCCCTCTGTGGTGCGATTATGTCAGAAGACTTTCTACCATTGGCATTAGAGCGCCAGGTGTTAACATCTCACCTCCCTGAGAATCACCCAGATGTGTGGAGCAATGCCAACAGAGCTGGGAGAAGTGCTTGTGCACTCTGTGTGTGTCTTTGGCTGGACACACAGATGGCCTTCATCATCGTGGTTGGAATTGTTTCCTTTACTGGACACTCAGATGGCCTTCATCATCGTGGCTGGGATCTGCCTCTGCCTCTACTTCCTGTTCCTGTGCTTCATGGTGTTTCAGGTGTTTCGGAACATCAGTGGGAAGCAGTCTAGCCTGCCCGCCATGAGCAAAGTCCGGCGGCTACACTATGAGGTGAGCAAATCTCTTGGTACATTTAGGGACTGGTGCTTAATATCTCCGGCCTGGTATGTAAACACACACACCAGAAAGTGAGAACTTTCACTTTCACTTACACCATGAGAGGTGCTCGCATAGGGCTTCTGGGCAAATGTAGAGGCTAAATGTTACTCTAGAAAAGACCTAGCTGACCTGTCTAAATCATGGGGTTGTAGGTGGTATAAATGGGCTTCCATCCCTAGTAAGGAGCAGACTCGTTCAGCAG